TAAACAAAAAGAAAATTCAAAACCATATTAAACAGCAACAAAAATAGATGAAACTTAATGGGAGATGTTTATTAACTTAAAGGATCATCCAAGAATTTTTCCATAATTTATTTACTAGCTTAAGTATTTTATATGATTTAACACTTTATTTTCTTATTATTTTCATATAAAAATAAAGAAAATATATATTGAGCTGAAAATTTCCAAAATGCATCTTCATACAATTTGATAACAATGACAATTTGTGTTCTTATTTTTGATGTTGAACACCATGCCTAAAGGCTCAATAAATTATAGAGAAAACTTGGTTCTTGTGATTTATGTAAAGATTAGTGATGTTACTTTGACAATTTTTGCAACATGTTACAAAGACTTTTGAATCAAGATCTTTTTGTACCTATTAATACATGATATTAAGAGTTCAAAATAATTTTTGAATGATTTTTAGTGATGAATAAGTCCTTTGAACATGCAACACAAAACAAATGTTCATAAGGAAAGTGCTGTTTGAGCAAGAGTTTTGTAAAAATTGGTAAAAATCGAAATTTTGGAATTTTTCAGTGAGGTCAGATGGGTTTGAAAGCTAACTCAAAATATTATATTTCAGAAAAAGAATCACGAATTTTGGCTAAGAAATGAGTGAGATATGACAGTTTAAAGTCAGGTAAAGAAATCTGGCAGATTGCATGCATGATGATTGGTTAGAAAAGTGGGTTTTCATCATTTCCTTGAGTAAACCTTTTGAAGTATTTTAAATATATCATGATAACCTCATATTTTGGTCATGTTTCCAGAGATCAAAAGATTAAAACTTATCAAAATGTATACATGCATTTATGAAGAAAATTTTGTTTCTCAAAAACTCTTAACTTGAGTTTGATGTTTTAATCCTTAAAATCGATTTTTGTACTAAGATCATGAACATGCAACCTTGTTTATCATACATGCATGGTGTTAAAACACATCCATCATGTTCTAGAAACCATTTTAACAAAAAAGAAAACAAGTTTGAAGAAGATGAAGAAGGAGAAAGTGTAAGAAAAGAGCAAAACTTGAAGGAAAAGTGAAGTAGAAATCGATTTTACCTTCAAGAATACCACAAGATGATGAAGATTTCGAGTTTGAGGAGTGTTCTTGGGTTTGTTTTCTGGAATATTTCTTGGTTCTTTAGAGGGAGGAAGAGAGATTGGAGTGGTGTTTGGAGAGAAAAAGTAGAGAGAAGGTAGAGAGAGTTTTCTAGAGAGAGAAAGAAGAGAGATGTGTGTGTTGGAGAATGAGAGTGTGAGAGAGAGATATGGGGAGAGAGGGATCCGATTTTAGGGGAGGAGAGGCTCCCTCTCTCTTGTTTCTTTTATAAAAATTCAAATCTTTTATAAAAATATCCAACTTTTTATAAAATGTGCACCTTAACCTAGTTTTTATGCATAAAACTCTTGATTTTTGGTTTATAAATTAAGGGTAAATGTTAATGAGTTAAATTTCATTTTCCTTGAATGCATTTTCATAATTTTAATTGTTATAAGATCATATTATAAGGTTCATGATTATTTTTATAGAATTTTTAAGGTCAAAGTTTATAAATGTGAGTTTTTAGGGCATTTAGGGTTTTTGAGAGTTTGTAAATCTTTGGATATCAAAATTACTTGAATTTTGAGACTTCAAACTATTTTAGAGTTTCATAACTCTTATTCAAATTAGAAATATTGTTTGTAATTTATTTTTAGCGGTTTATTGGCATTCTATGTAGTGATTCCGAGATTCAAACGAAATTGAGGAATCAAGTATACTAGTCCTACTCTTCAACTTTGACTTAAGTTTCTATGAGACTTTGACCTAATTTCTACTTCTAGGTCAAGTGCATGATGTGTGAATATGATTCATGAAATGGTGTTCGAGTCAAAGAATGACCCGAATATGGATAGTCTCTACAGTTAAGTAGTTATAGAATTCACATATCAATGTGAAATCTATGCACACTATCCATTGATTCTAATTGTTTCCAAGTTTCTAGTAGGTTATAACTTAGCTTCTAGTTACTAAGTCTAGTATGTGTAGTGCCTGTATGTGCAACTAAGTTTAGTCAAATCTAAAACCGACTCGAATTTTGACGACTGTCACATCTGATACCACTTATGATACGTGTATGGGCTGTTTTGTATTGAGATGGAATAATGTTTGAGACAAAAACAATAAAAGGATAGATTTGATAAACAAACTAGACCTATAGCTTGTAAATCTGAAGACAAACTAAGACCTATTAGCTTGAATTCGATCAACTCAAGGATCACGTCCAAAAGATGATAATTTGTGAACTATGACAATAATTCAAAGTGAACAAAAGGGTTCTTTGATTAAAATTCGTCTATTACTTTTTCCATGCATAAACTTGGCTTTATATGAAGCCTTTATTACAAATTTGGTGGTTACAAGCCAACCAACCAATTATTCATTAAAACTAGTAAATGAAAATTAAGGAAACTCTTGAAATAACACAAAAAAAAACGTCCAACACACTTGAGAATGAAAAAAAAACGTCTATGCTTCATTAAGGAGCCATAAGAAGCATTAAAGTGTAACCCTAATCCACCAAAGAGTGTCAAAAACGACTAGGAGGTTTTATGAAGCAAAGAGTAACGTTTTTTTAGCACTTATGAAGGCTTGAAAGTGTTTCCGTAGCCTTCATGCAACCTTAATTCAATTTGTGGGTTACCATGCAAAACCCAACCATTAAGCCCAAACCACCTTCTAGCCCACTAGTAATAACTATTCCATCACCTTTTGGGCTTTCATCATCCATGCATGGATCATCCCCTCCCCCTTTGAAAGGAATTGACCTCAGTTCATCAAGTCCATCATCATCAAGATAAGGTGAAAGATCTCCCATATTAAAGGTTGCATGCATTCCATGGTCTCCTCCCAAATCCAAATTGTAACCATTATCATTTTCAGAATTTGTCACTTCCACACATGTATCAGCAATACTCTTCTTTCTTCGGACCGCAAACCGAAGGATAGCAAACCGTTTATGGCCGAGAACCCTCGGACCACAAACGTGCGAGGCGGCAGTAAACCTCGCAACCTTATGCTCATCGGGCCGCAAACTCCTGTTCCCCGGTTTGTGTGCTGGACCGAAATCACTAAAATATCTAGATATTTATGCTAAAACCGCCACATTGCACACCTATATATATGTAAGGACCAAAAACACACTTCATTCTCTCATATTTCAACTGAAATATTTACCTTTTTCTCTCAAGATCTTCAAACCGAAAACTCCTCTCTCCTCTCAAGAACATGCGAAACCTCTCATTTCTCATGAATTCCATGCAAAAATCCATTGTATCTTCTTAGAATCTTGCAAAGTATCATCTTTTGTTCTTGATATCATTCATAAACACCTTCTAATCTCCTTATATTGGGCCGAAAACACTCACATCTTCTTGGTTTCACCAAGAACACCAAGAACACCGCTTGAATCATCAAGTGGCCGAAAACTCAAGGCTGACCGAAAACTCCAAACAACCTCACGAATTACTTCTAACACTCCTTTTGTAAGTGATTCTTACATCTAAGGCTATTCCATAACATATTTGTCACTTCTTTCGCTAATTATGTACACATATATTGTGTGATATGCTATTAGGACTCAGTTTTGTTACGGGATCTTACTTGTGGAATTAAAACTACCATTTCGGATCTTCACTAGAATACTCACATAAGGTGAGTTCATACATACCCCTGCATTTTTACTATTTTTCACTGTTTTAGGGGGGGGGGATACAAGTCTAACACAAGAATATTGTGTTTACAAATAATGATTTATATATATTTCTAAAATGACTTTAACTTACTGAAACTCTTTTAAATATTGTTAAACTCCATTAATTGTTTTATAAACTCTTTTTTAAACTTATATTTTACCAAAAATCATATATATATATATATATATATATATATATATATATATATATATATATATATATATATATGAATATAAAAATTACTTCAATTGGATTCATTACCCTTTGTAACATGCCGAGCAAAGGGGGTATTTTCATGAATAATTCATATCAAACAAAATACAAACATAAATTATAATAGGTATAATTTATGGAACTTCTATATTATTTTCACTAGTCAGTTATACAAAGTTTAACAGTATACTCTCGTACAAATACTTTACATTCAAGTATACTAGAAAAGGATCATACTATCAGTTCATTTATTTCAGAATAACTTTTCCTCATTATTGTACACGTAATTGTCAGTATGGCTTTTGTGAGACAAAGTTCACTCGCTTAATTATTTAAGCAATACTATTAAAGACTTGATAATTATAAACATTATCTCCCGACAGAGAGCGAGACAAATGTGTATAGATCTATACGGGATGGACAATCCCGCACTCAGATTGTTCGCTACAGTCAGGCTGTAATGTCTTTGAGTGACAAATGTCGTTACAGTTCTAACGCCTGTAAAGCGTTGTATCAGGCTTACTAGTCTTAGCATGGTTATAATAACTCACAAAAAGATATGAACAATACGATTAGTGTATGAATAATTAAACCAAAGAGTACAAATGCAACGTACTGGTTTTACAAACAATACGATTTAAAGTATGATATTACGACTTACAATTACAACTGGTGGAACCAGCCACACTCACAAATTACAGAGTCTTCAAAGAATACAATTACAACATACTAGTTTTTTTTTTTGAAAGAGCCAAAGCTCAGCAAACTTTATTAAAAAGAATAAAAGAATACAAAAACAAACGGAAATAAAATAGTCAAACAAAATACAAATCTAACCAACCTATCCATAACCAACTACCAAGCCACTTTTTAATAACGAGACTTAACCACCCAAAAACCCAAAAAACCTTATTATCCTTAAAGCTAGCCCAAAGACTTATTGAAAGTGGGAAAAAAGGTAACTTCACCCCCTTGCACCACCAAAATCCCCAAAGATCATTAATACCTAAGCAAGGGGTAAGGCCCTTAAAAAAACCCACAGTCCGAAGGCCAAGCTTTAAGAAAAAACCCAACAAAACCACAATACTCCCTACACAATACATAACATAGAACCAATAAAAGATACAATTATAACACTCATAATTGCAACTATAAAAAAACCCCATCAATTTATCAATCCCGCATCTTCTGTCACTTCTCCTCTCATCAATCCTCCACTTAGTCTTCAACAGAAAAGACTCCATCTGCTTGCAAACATGATCCAAACCCGACCTTTGCAAAAAATTCCTGCATATCAAGCACAAGCCAAACCACAACAAACTAACACCAAAACTCCAAGAAATCAGAACAAGTTTCATACTAGACATGGCATCAATCACATGTCTAGGATTCTCCATTTGGATAATCTCAATAAAGATCATATCCAAACAGAAAATCCCATAGGTACAAGTCACATGATTTGAGAGCAAACTCTCAAACCAGTAACACAATCCGTCAATTCCTTTGTAAAGAAACTTATTCCAAAAATGCCCCCACCAATCCACAGCATTAAGATCACCAAAGTTAAACATCCTTTTATGCCAACCCCAAAACCAATAGCCACCAACCAACAAACTAAAAAACCAGAAAATAGCACCCATTATTTAAACTTTTTCCATTCCAGAAATACCCCAGGCCTTAAAAACTTTATCATTGACCATCTTATCCTTTTTCCTCAACCCCAACAGCATTAAATGTATTTCACTTTCAATACAAGCAATCAGCCCCTTATACGAATTTCTCCTGTTACTAAAAAGTCTAGAATTTCTCTCCTTCCAAATATGTGCAACACAACTAGCAAAAACACATTTATTAACCAGATTCTCACCAGAATTCCTTTTAAACAAACTGCACAGCTTCATAATCAATTCATTCCAATCATCCATAAAAAGATTAAGACCCATCTTATTACAAAAATACCTCCAAATAAGTTGAGAATAATCACATTTAAAGAAGAGATGAACATGTGAATCAGGAGTAACAGCACAAAAAGGACAAAGTAAGTTACCAGAAACTTCCCAACCTTTGACACGATCCTGGGTCTTCAATCTATTCAAAATAGCCATCCACAAAATAAACGAATTTCGAGGAATGCAATTACCATACCAAACAATATCATGCCAAGGAACTTGGTCTCCAAAATTATTTATATCACACCACACCTGTTTGCATGAAAATTGTTTACATATTCCTTTCTTATCTCTCCAACCTACAACATCCCTCAGATTAGGCTCAATACAAAACATGGGAGCATCCTTCAATCCAGGGAATATATTAACCCACTCAACCGGCCAAGTATAGCAATCATAGACTAGAACATCACTGACCAAGGAAGAATCACTAAACCCATTGCTAACCCAATCTCTTCTAGATATAATAGAACATAAAATACCAATTGGGTGCCACCAATCATGCCAGAGAGAAGTATTCATCCCGTTTCCCACACACGAAACAACATGGGGCCTAACAATTTTTCTCACCTCAAGGAACCTCTTCCAAGTCCAGCTCATACTCTTCTTCTGCAAAATATCCCAAAAATTCCTGTTTCCAATGTAATTGGATTTCACCCACTGAACCCACAGAGAATTTTTGCTATTAATCACATTCCACACATGTTTAGCTAACAAAGCATCATTCCATTTCCTTAAATTCTTCACTCCTAAACCACCATAAATTTTCGGCTTACAAATATCATTCCACTTGACTTTAGCTTTCCCTTTGACTACCTCACCATTCGCCCACAAGAAACTTCTACAAAGCTTTTCAATCTCTTTAATAGTAGCAATGGGAATTTTAAAAATCGAAGCCCAATACACATGAATAGATGTCAAAACAGAATTAATGAGCTGCAGCCTTCCAGCAAACGATAAAGCCTTGCTTTTCCAATTGAAAATTCTCATCTTAATCTTCTCAATAAGCTGTTTACAATCTCTATCAAATAATTTTGTAACACACATAGGAATTCCCAAATACTTAAAAGGAAATCTCCCAATATCAAAAGGAAGAATGCCCAAGATAATCCTTCTCATATTGGGTTTAACACAACTGAAGAAAATCTGGCTTTTTTCCATGCTCACCTTCAACCCTGAAACTTTTTTGAACTCATCAAGAGCATCCCTTATAACTCTAGCAGAATTCCCATTTCCATAAGAAAAAACTAACAAATCATCAGCAAAGCATAAATGAGTAATTTTAAGGGACATACACTTACTATGAAACTTAAAATTCTGGCCAGCTTCAATTTTCTTCAAAAGGATGATATTAAACACCTCCATAACTATAGTAAATAGGTAAGGAGATAGAGGATCACCCTGCCTAAGACCCCTCTTTCCTTCAAAATACCCATGATCTTCACCATTAAAGTTAAGCATGAACCAAGGAGTAGAAACACAAGCCATAATCCACTGAATCATTATCGTATGAAAACCAAACCCCTGCAGAATTCTACTAAGAAAATTCCAATCCACCGTATCATATGCCTTTTGAATATCAATCTTTATGGTGCATTTGGGAACTCCCCTCTTATTTTTATACCCCACCATCAGCTCCTGAGCAAGGAGAATATTATCCACAATAGATCTTCCAGGAATGAAAGCTGATTGATTTTTGCTCACAATATCACCCAAACTATTTCTAATTCTGTTCACTATAATCTTACTAATACACTTATATAAAGTGTTACAGCAGGCTATAGGACGGAAATCAGAAACTTTCCTCGGGAACTCCACTTTAGGAACCAGCACTATTCTCGTAGCATTAATCCCCTTCAACAATTTACCAGTCCAAAAAAATTCCCTCACAGCTTTACACACCTCCGGCCCAACAATGTTCCAAGAACTTTTAAAAAATTTGGAGGAGTACCCATCAGGTCCAGGGGCACGATTTTCATCAATATCAAACATCGCCACTTTGATTTCTTCATCAGTCACCACTCTAATCATATTAGCAGCCACCCTACTATCCAATTTATTATGAAAGAAACCATCATTTAAACACGAAAACTCAGTAACATCTTTACAACCCAAAAACTTATTGAAATGAGTAACAAATTTATCCTTCATAGCCTTCCCACTAACCCATCTTCCATCTTCATCAATAACCATCAGAATACGATTTCTATTGCCCCTGCTCTTCACAACTCTATGAAAAAACTTTGTATTATTGTCCCCTTCCTGTAACCAATTTATCTTAGATCTCTGGAAAAGAAGCTTTTCTTCATCATTACAAGCAACATTAAAATCAAAAAGAATATTAGTATGCTCCTCCCTAATCTTACAATCAAAAGGATTAAGATCAATTTCAGATTGTTTACTTTCCAACTCCTTTCTTAACATTTGGATTCTCTTCCCAGAACCCCTGTGCTTATTGCAAAGCTCCCTACAATGCTTTTTAAGAATCTTCAACTTTTGGCACACTTTGAACATAAAAAAACCTTCAATATTAGCATCCCAAACTTCCTTAACCAGGGGTAAGAACTCCACCTTTTCAGTGATAAAATTAGCAAACCTAAAAGAAGGTTTCCATCTCAATTTGCCAACAGGAACATTTAAAATAGCAGGACAATGATCCGACACCCTATAAGGTTTAAAAACAGCATGAGCTAAAGGATGATCCGAAACAAATTTCAAATTGGCCATCACCCTATCTAACTTCTTCAAAAGGCCCTTATTCCCAGCAGGAGTTTTATTCCAAGTAAACTGAAACCCAGAGGAATTCAGATCCTCAACTTCAATAAAGTTTATACAGTCAATAAAATCATCAACTCCTTTAGGCGTTTTGGAACAACCTTCAGAATATTCCGATGGTTTTAAAGCAACATTAAAATCACCTAATATTCCCCATGCTTCCTTCTTAACAACCAAACTATGTTTCTTCAAATTATCCCATAATAACCTTCTCTCAAGATAATTCGAAGCAGCATATATAAAAGACAAATACATGCTATAATTGGAATCACAGAATCTAACATAACAGTGAATAACTTGTCTAGACTGAGAAATCACCATCACATCAAAAAGTCTTGGATTCCATCCAACAATTATTCTAGTTCCAGCCTCACAGCTACTATTATTAGAAACCCAATCCCATTGACCAAAGGTCTTAACACAAACATTCTTAAGATTTAAGACCTTGACATGAGACTCCACCACAGCACATATACCAAGGTTATTACTCCTAATAACATCAATAACCTCCTTCTGCTTAATAGCTTTATTCAAGCCCCTGACATTCCATACCCCTATAGACATCATTGGGAAATAATAGAGTTTTTGGCATTTACCTCCTCAAATGCCTGAGAAATCCCATCTTTGCTTTTACTATTCCCCTGAACCATCATACTATTCTTCATTTTATTACTTTCATTCCCTACATTACCCTTCCCAACAAACTTAGAAGGATCCAACTTATTATTCATTATTCCAACAACATCAGAAGAATAATCAACACAATCACCTTCCTGATAACCATCAACTTTGCCTCCCTTAGCATCCTCTTCCATTCTATCCATAACTTCCTCATCAATCCTTCCCAGGATTTCAAAACTATTTTTAATACTGCAACCATCACTAGAAACAGTCTTATTTTCTAGACTCTTGTTAACACCCACTTTTATGTTATCATCCTTTATAGCATTCCCCTGCATCTTATTCTCCATTTTCCCCTGATTACCAACCAAAGCCTGACCATTAACAAACTTCTCATATCTTCTATTCTTTTCCAAATTCCAATGACCCACCCCTTTATTATTCCAATTCCCATTCTGTCCCCTTCCATTACCACCTCTATTCCCATAATTGCCTCTGAAATTATTTCCCCTGTTAAAATTTCCATTCTTCCCACTATATCTTTGATTATACAATTGAGCATGACCCTCCTTAGATTTACTAGTACCTTCACCATCATTATTTCCTGCAACCTTCTTATAAACAACCTCCGTAAATCCATCATCATTAACCATTTCCTTCCCTTTATTTCTCTTATTGTTCCCATTATCCCCATTCTTTACCACTTTCTCTTCATTCAAAGCTGCCAAACAAACTTTATCCGTATGCCCATAAACCTTACAGTGATTACATCTAGAAGGCATCCAAGCATACTCCACATCAAAACTCTGAACCACAGCAGAATTAGTAACAAAATCCCAAGTAGAAACCTCAATTTTCCTCATCCATTCCTTATCAGCCGCCATTTCAACAAGAATTCGAGCATAAGCGTTTCTACCCTTGTGTTCCAAACACATCTCCTCAGTAAAAGAATCAAAAGCCAGAGGCACCCCCAACTTACTCGCTATAATACACAAATTCTCTCCACTCCATACTTCCAAAGGTAAATCAAAGATTTTGATCCACACCGGAATTTTATCATGACTATTCTTGGTTAATTTCAGACCTGGTCTCCACCTTTGAAGAAATAATGGCATATTATTGAACATCAACCATGGGCTTCCCTCCAATATAGATAACATCCCCTGCTCATCACTAAATTTAAAAAGAAAAACCCTTTACTGTTCATGAATATCTCTTCAAGACCCACATTCTTCCATAGCCTTCTAACCTCTTGCTGAATCACAGGAAACGCTAACTTCTTATCAATCATATACCCATATAAAGTATTAGTATATGGAATACTCGCTTTCTTTAAATTCTCAATCGGGATAATAACAGGTCCTTCTTCTTTGCCTTTTTCCCCTGGAATAAACTTGACATCAATCTTACCCTTATGTCTATTACCTTTTAACACACCTGCATAAGAGTTCAACAAGTTCCCCTGACTATCACCATCCACCTTTTTACAACTATTAGCATCACCCAAAATAGAAGGAAGCATATTAATACTATTAATAACAGTACCAGACTTCATCTTTAAACTAGGCTCTTTACTCATCTTAGTATTAACCTCCTCTTCCATCACAATTTCCTCATCTTCACTAGACTCATCCTCACTAGATTCATCTTCCCCATCCTCTTCAGAAGAACCATCATCTTCAGAATCATCTCCTTCCTCATTAACTTGCTTATTCAAATTTGACATATCGACATCCATTTCCTGATTCAACTTACTATCTAAATCCTTCCTATTAGGTATTTCCACCTTCAACTCATTAAGAAATTGAAAGCCAACTCCCGGAATAAATTCTTCATTACTGATAACCTTCTTATCACCATTAGATCTAGACTTCTTAACTTCATCATCAACCAACTCAGGGCATACAGGTTTATTGACATCAATCACAGCAATGTTAGGATTCACCCTAATCATTTCACTAGTAACACTCTTCAATTCCGAACTAGGGCTCAATAATTCATCATTCACCTTAGAACCATCCCAATTTTTCAACAAATTAGCAGTATTACCTGAAGGAATAGAGACAACTTGAACTCCAATAGTCTTCAGCTCACCAAAACCCCCATCCTTCAACCCCTTCATATTGCTATCATTTCCAGGAATTGAACTATTAGAATCCGACTCCCAGGCCGATACAGACTCCGAGTCATCTTCCGTTTCCTCCTCATTAGCTTCTTCAGTGTAGTATTCCTTTGCATCCATCGGTGATATCCCATCCACAATTTTCCGAGCTCTGTTCTTCACTCTGAAAGCTTTCCCCTCCATTTTCCATTCAACTTTTCCAATCCCCGAAGCAACAGCTCCAGAAGCACTTGGCTTACGACGAGCTTTATAAATCGTAGCTGAGGACTGATCAATGACCCCAGGGGGAACTAGATCTTTCACATGCACTTCAGTCCTAACGTACCGGACAGCAGCACTTTTATCCGGTGGCTTAACTTTCACTTCCTTCAATCGATCCGCTTTAGATGACGCACCCATTAGGACAACGGAAACAGAAGAGAAATTGCTTCAACGACTAAATGAAATTCATCGGAAAAGCAGCACCGATGAACCAAAAACTAGATCGCACCACCGATAGAGAGAATCAGGGGAAGAGAGAGAAAGTAGAGAGAGAAAGCGAAAAAGTTTAGCAGCATTGTTTAGCACTGTAATTACAACATTCCTTTTTATAAAAAGGAATGTTCTATGAATTGTTTATGTTTCTCTTTGTTATAACTAGTAATTACAACATACTAGTTATAACAAAGAGAAACATAAACAATTCATAGAACATTCCTTTTTATAGTTTTATTGTGAACTAAATTTATGTTACTCTATTTTATAGTACTACAACAATTACATAGAACGGTTTTATAGTTTTAAAACTACTTTTCAGTTATATTAGAAAATATTGGATTTTCTGGAACAATAAACATGATTACAATGTCAAGAAACAAACATCAAGCTTCTAAACATAGATACTTATGAACTCACCAAGTTAAATGTTGATACTTTGTTTTTCAAAATACTTGTATTCTCAACTAGTAGACAGGTACATTCCCAGGATTTTGAGAAGACAGAGCAGTATGGAGTCATGTTTTCTATCTTTTGCTATATATAACTTTTACTATGATGTATGTGTTGTGATACTTAACATGAAGTCATCCACCCCCGGACGTTTCTGTCGCTCCGGTTTGGGGGTGTGACATGGACAAACTATCAAGTAAATGATAATAGTGGCAATAACAAGACTACATCTTCTAACCCAATGGCAACAGAGGCCATTCTTGAGGTAACTAAGTTGTGTTTATTCTCACGAATCGTCACAGAGATACTCTTTCACATTCATGTTCCATAGCCAACGAATCAAGTGCACCTTGTTTGCAGTAGAGGATGTTTCATGCATTTTGAACAATGCTCATATCAAATTGTGGGTTTTCTCCATACTGGCAAGGATGCATACACATCCTTCACCATTAATAATTTTAGGACTCCAAGTGCTTAATGGTCTAGATGGTGCCCATCCTCTTGTGATTCATATGAGGTATTCAAACCACCAGGATGGTAGATATAATTTATTTTAATGGAGATTGACAAGGACTGCTAAAGGAAACGATCCGATTGGGATAGAGGTAGATCTATTGGCATAATCTGCACACTTCCTTCCCATTTGAGAAGATTACCGAATGGAAAATCTTGCCCGAATTTATGTAGATGAGATCGTAGTATGTTATGGAGTACCTATTTCCATTATTTTGGATAGAGAGTCTCCTTGTGTTGGTAGTCACTTCAAAAAGCCTCAGTACATGATTAAATATAAGTACTACCTACCATCCTCAGAGTTTTTTCAACAATTTGCATCAAGTATCAACAAAACAAGCCTAGGCTCTGATACCACTGAAGGGTTTTGAGCATTCTAACACTCCTAAGGTGTACATGCAACCCTAGAAACCTTGGATCTATGTTTTACTAAGATACATGCAAATTTGATTTTCCAAGGTTCTTAACCTAACTAGCATAACATGGGGAACTTTGAAACATAAAAGCTATTCCTTGAGAACCTTGTTAGCCTAGCACCTCAAGTGTGATGCCTCAAATGTTTCACACAACACCACAACTCTTGGAATAACTTTGAGAGAAGTCCACACACACTCAAAATCGGCTAGCCCTCTTGTTCTTTCTTAGTGGCCGATTTTGCTAGCCATGGAGCTTCTTATATAGTGTGCCACATCTAGGGTTACTCCATGTAATCCCTAATGTGCATGGCTTTTCATATTCCATGATCCATGGGTTCATAACCTCCATGGACTATCCATGGAGCACCTTATGGCTTTTAGCGCAACTCAATAAACCATGGATCATTAGCCCACTATAAAAGAATGGATGATTTACACAATCAACCCCATATATTTAATTTGTCTCCTTTTGATCACCAAATTAATTCTAAATTAATTCTTGATCAATACTAATTAAATAATATTATTAATATATTAGAACTTATAATATATATATATAAACTAGAAGTGTCCTTTCTCTCATTTAGTCTATCCAAGTGTTGCAATGCCATACAACCCAAATGGACCATGCCAACCGGGTCAAGTACATTCCAGAAATAGTTATGAACTTAGACACCTAATCCAACAAAAACAACCGCCCCCAACTCCAGGTTGTGTGTCAGGTAATTCGCCTCGTGAGGCTTCAACTGCCTCGAGGTGTAAGCGATGACATGCCCTCTCTGCATCAACAGTGCGCCCAAACCCGAGATAGACGCATCAAAGTCTCGAAAGCCGCCAGCTGCTCAGGCCCCCAGCGGAAAGTCACCGACTTCTTGGTCAGTCGGGTCAGGGGTACCGCTATCTTGGAGAAATCCTTAATGAATCTCCAATAATAGCCTGCTAAACCAAGGAAGCTCCGAATCTCGGATGGAGACCTCGGAACCTCCCATCTCATCACGGCCTCCACCTTGTCCGAATCGACCAGTATACCGTTTTGGTTGACGAGGTGCCCCAGAAACTGCACCTCGTGCAACCAAAAATCGCACTTGGAGAACTTTGCGAAAAGTCTCTCCCTCCTACGTGTCTCCAGCACCTCCCTCAAGTGCTCATCGTGCTGCTCCCGCGTCTTGGAATAAAACAATATATCATCAATAAAGACTATCACAGAACGATCCAACATCGGTCGGTATACGCAGTTCATGAGATCTATGAACGCGGCAGGAGCATTGGTGAGTCCAAATGGCATCAATACGGACTCATAGTGGCCATAGCGAGTCCAGAAAGCAGTCTTCTGTACATCCTCATCTCTGACTCTCATCTGGTGATAGCCTGAACGCAAATCGATCTTGGAAAACCAAGATGCCCCCCTGAAGCTGGTCGAAGAGATCGTCAATCCTCGGGAGTGGGTAACGGTTCTTCACCGTTACCTTATTCAACTCCTGATATTCTATACACATCTGGTGAGACCCGTCCTTCTTCTTCACAAACAGAATCGGGGCACCCCAAGTTGAACTGCTTGGCCTAATAAATCCGTTGTCTAACAGCTCCTACAAGTGTGTAGTCAACTCCTACATCTTAGGAGGAGCCAACCGATACGGTGCCGTGGCTATCAGAGCCGCACCTGGAACTAGGTCAATCCTGAACTCCACCTGTCTCTCCGGAGGTATCCCAGGCAAATCCACCGGGAAAACATCTGGATACTCCCGCACAACTGGCACATCGCTCACTGTCGCCTTACTCTCCTCCCGGGTATCCATAATTTAGGCGACAAAACCTGGGCATCCCTGGTGTAGGTAGCGCCTGGCTCTCATTTCTGAACACATGACCGGTCCGCGCTGCGGTCTCTCACCCTGAATCTCCAGCTCTCCCCCACTTGGGGTCCTGACTTGAACCAACTGCTGCTCACAGTCGATCACCGCCCCATTAGGGCTCAACCAATCCATGCCTATGATGACCTAGTTCCCACGCAAAGGAATGGGAACCAAATCCACGAGGTAACGCTCGTCATACATCCTCAGGACACAATCTCTATAAACCTCTGATGCCCGGATGGATCGGTTGTCCGCAATCTCGACCTCTAAAGGACAATCTGACATGCTCGTAGACTCGGCAAACCTCTTGCTGAGTGCAAGAGAAACGAAAGATCGGGTACCTCCCAAGTCAAATAACACCAACACTGGGATACCATTCACATGGAACGATCCTAAAACAGAATACATGGAACATAAATATAAAAATTGAAATATAATAAAAGATAAGGAGAAGAAATGATCCGTGTATGGATAATGAAGGCCCAAAAGGTTATGGGTAGCTTAATATTGGGCTAGAAAGTTGTTTGGGCTTAATGGCCTATAGGGTGTGCATGGTGAGATAGTTGATGGATTAGGGTTTTCTTAATTAAATTAATAAAAGTTTAATAAATCCAAGACTTCATTGATTGTTTGATTCAAAGCTTGGGTGGTTATGGAAGCATTTGGAAGGGTATCATTGATGGCTCTCTTTAAACTTTAGGAGTTACACTCTTATCATTGATGACTCTCTTTAAACTTTGGGAGTTACACTCTTATCATTGATGGCTTTCTTTAATCCTTGGGAGTTACACTCTTTACATCTTCTCATAACCAATTACTAGCAATTGAAGAACAATTGAAGACATGGACGTTTTTTTGTCATTCGTAAGTGTGGTAGACGTTTTATTGTGTTATTTCAAGAGTTTCCTTAATTTTCATTTACTAGCTTTAATGAGTAGTTAGTTGGTTGGCTTGTAACCACCAACTTTGTAATAAAGGCTTCATATAAAGCCACGTTTATCCATGGAAATGTAATAGACGAATTTTAATCAAAGAACCCTTTTGTTCAATTTGAATTATTGTCATAGTTCACAAATTATCATCTTTTGGACGTGATCCTGGAGTTGATCGAATTCAAGCTAATAGGTCTTAGTTTGTCTTCAGATTTACAAGCTATAGGTCTAGTTTGTTTATCAAATCTATCCTTTTATTGTTTTTGTCTCAAACATTATTCCATCTCAATACAAAACAGCCCATACACGTATCATAAGTGCTCTGATACCACTTATGATACGTGTATGGGCTGTTTTGTATTGAGATGGAATATTGTTTGAGACAAAAACAATAAAATGATAGATTTGATAAACAAACTAGACCTATAGCTTGTAAATCTGAAGACAAACTAAGACCTATTAGTTTGAATTCGATCAATTCAAGGATCACGTCCAAAAGATGATAATTTGTGAACTATGACAATAATTCAAAGTGAACAAAAGGGTTCTTTGATTAAAATTCGTCTATTACTTTTTCCATGCATAAACTTGGCTTTATATGAAGCCTTTATTACAAATTTGGTGGTTACAAGCCAACCAACCAATTATTCATTAAAACTAGTAAATGAAAACTAAGGAAACTCTTGAAATAACACAAAAAAAAACGTCCAAGACACTTGAGGATGAAGAAAAAACGTCTATGCTTCATTAAAGAGCCATAA